ATGGGCTGATTTTGGTATCACAGGGATGCAGCAATACCAGACCCCAGATGAACGTGTGTGGAACGTGGAACTCTTCCCCTCCTCAAAGTCTCTTGGGGCGAGAGACTCCTTCGCTGATGTGCAGCAGCCAAGGAGCCAGACCTCAGTGCTACATGGAGGTCTATGTGGGTCAAGGAGGACATAGGCAGAAAGGGGTTAAACAGGGAGACAGGACGTGGAAGGTCCCTCAGCGGCTTCTGAGCCCACAAAACCTTGAGGGAAGGGACAGGGACTGTGACTCCCTGCAGTTCAGACTAACACTTGCCATCTTATGGGGTCAGTTTTCCTTTGCAGAGAAATGGGAACATCCACGGGAAACCGAAGTCCTGGGAGCTCTGGACCTTGGAGGCGCCTCGACACAAATAACCTTCCAGCCTGGAGTGACCATTGAGGACAAGAACACCTCCGTCTTCTTCAGGCTGTACGGCACCGACTACTCGCTCTACACCCACAGCTACCTCTGCTATGGGCAGACGCAGGCCTTGAAGAGGCTGCTGGCAGCTCTCCACCAGGTACCACAGCCACTGGTCACCAGGATCTGCTCAACCATTTCCCATTGCCATGAAAAACGTCTTCCAGAAATTTTGGGCATGCCTGTGGAAAAAACGTTAAGGAATTGGGAATTTTCACAAATCCAAAAACCTGGGAGAGGCTTAGACTTTGTCTACTGAACCAAAAAATTCTCTCATTTGGGTGGAAGGTGGTGGTGGCTCCCTGCCAGGGCTCCCTTCTCCCCAGATGTAATGGCATTTTTCATTATTTCCCAAGCCCAGCTGTATCCTTAGGTTCTTCCCTGTCCCCATTCACTTGCCCTTCCTCAATTTCTGCCCAGAGAGAGGATTCCCAACGTCCTCTCCTGCATGCTGCTCCACCACTAACCAGTGCCCTCCGGTCTCACCTCGGACAGAGCGCATAGCCCAGCGCCGTGGGAGATGGAGATGCTCAGGGAGCATGCAGGCGGGACGAATCTTTGATCCTTTCTGGTCTAGGGCCTGCCAGATGCAGTGGGGACAGAGCGAATGCCAAGAGCAACAAGCTCTCCGTGCAGGCAGAGAGCAGACGCTGCCCTCAGGAGCAGGTTGCCATACCCGCGGGGAGGCACAGGCTGGCCATGGCATCGCCACCCCAGCACAGCTCAGCGGTGGGGCTGACAGCAGGACTGGCAAAAGCCGTGGGCAGGTTAATCATGCAAAGGATGGATCCTGCTTCTCCTCAAATCCTCCTAGGGTCTAGATCCTGCTTTTTGGGCATGTCTAAGCACAGGATGGGCTGTGGGGTCTCACTGGCATCCCAGGCCAAGCCCTGCTAACGGCTCCCGCTCTCTCCAGGGCAGCTCATCTCCCCAGCGCATATCACACCCCTGCTACCCCAAGGGATACCAGGAGAACATCACCACGGCAGACCATCCTAATCCTCAGTGCCAGGGTGATGCTAATGACTCCTGCTCCCTCCAGGGCAGCTCATCTCCCCAGCGCATATCACACCCCTGCTACCCCAAGGGATACCAGGAGAACATCACCACGGCAGACCTCTATGACAGTCCCTGTGTCCGTGCACCGAGCACACCCAGCCCTGCACAAGTCCTCACGGTGACGGGGACAGGCGAACCAGCAGCGTGCAGCACCGCCATCCAGAAACTCTTCAACTTCACCTGTGGGGCCAACAGGACGTGCGGGTTCAACGGGGTTTATCAGCCGCCCGTGAGGGGACAGTTCTTTGTAAGGCGCCTCCGTCCCTGTGGCTGTGGTGGGGGAGGACGGAGGGTGGGAGTCTCCTCTGCCACTGGTTGTGGAAGGGGGTGGGGAAGGAGGGGACACTAGAGCTGGTCCCATCTGCAAACCTCTTCTCCTATGCTGGGAGGTGGCTTCTGCCTCCTGCAACGTCCCAGCCCTCCCTGAGGGAAACAGGAAGATCCTGTCCCAGGGAGCAAGTCTGAGCTAGCTCAGAGTGCAAGCAGCAGCCCCAGGGCTTGTCCACCAGCTCCAAGACTTTCTGGTAGACCATCAAGTGGGTGCTGGATGCAGAACCCTTGCAATTACATGGGACTTTGTCCCCAGGCAAGAGGGGCCCCTGGGTGGTCTTTTTGGGTGAGGAAGGAGATGTAGTTTTTACCATCTCCCCTTATCCCCCAGGCCTTCGCTGGGTTCTACTACACCTTCCACTTCCTGAACCTGACCAGCCAGCAGTCTCTAAGCGACGTCAACTCCACGGTCCAGACCTTCTGCAAGAAGAACTGGGCAGAGGTGAGAGCCCTGTGAAGGGCAGCAAGGAGCCCTGTGCTTGTCCCATCCCAAATCTCTGCCCAGGAAGCACATGCCCTGCTGTTCCTTGGGCCAGGGAGGGTTTCTGAGCATCCATTTCATTCCCTGTTGCACCGTGTCCCCTGATGGCCCCACAGCTGGTGGAGACCTTCCCGCAGGAGAAAGGGTACCTACACATGTACTGCTCCATGGCGATTTACATCCTGACACTGCTGCTTGATGGCTACAAGTTCAATGAGTACACGTGGAGCAACATCCACTTCAGCCAGCAGGTAAACACCATGCGGGGCACTGGGAGCGGGCAGGCAGCTGCAGCTGCAGCCGCATCCTTGCCCCGGCCCGAAGACATGTTCAGGAGCAGCATCCCTGGCACCCCCCGTGCCAGAAATGTGTCCCCATCTCATGGCTGCTACCCAGTGATCCCAGCACAGCTTCACTCTTACCTGCCCCCAAACCTCTGATGCCAGCTTGTTTCTCACTTACTCTGGTGTGAACTTAAGCTAATTTCAAGGGGGTCAGAGAAGTGCAGAGCAGGATTTGGCCACTTTGGTCTCTGATGTTGGGCAGAATTGACATGAACATCAGAGGGGTGATGGTGGCCCCATGACCCATTTGAACCAGAATATCACCAAATTTAAAGGATCATGGGGGAGGAGGAAAGCTCAGACCCAAAATCATGTGCAGGTCCCAGAGGCACATCTGGACCAGAGCAGTCATCCATTTTCAGCTGCCCTTTAGCCCTTGGGAAGGGGGGAGAGGAAAGCTCTCTGTTTAACTGGTGCTGGTAAGATCAGGTTCACCACAGCCAGGTTGTGTGAAATCACAGCTGGGGCAGCTCATGGGAGAGTTGCCCGTCAGTCCCTTGCACCAAAGCTACCAGTGCCTGGGAGAGGCACTTTTGGATGATCTCTGCTCTCTCACTTCAGGCAGCAAACACAGACATCGGCTGGACGCTGGGCTTCATGCTGAACTTCACCAACATGATCCCCACGGAGGCTCTGGAACATGTCAAGGGGCACCAGCCCAGTCTGTGGGCAGGTGCCGTCTCTTTCATTGTGCTGGCCATAGTGGCAGGCCTGGTGGCCGTTTTCCTCCAGTGTTTCTGGAAAACTAAGTAGCTCCCAGCCTCCTGACTAGAGGCACCCTGCCCACTAAACCAGGCAGGGAAGGTGGAAGGGGGAGAAGAGCGAGGGCATTAGACCCATCTCCATTGCTCAGGAGGTCTCATTGGGTCGTCTCTGTAAAGATGTCGAAGTTGACAAAGGTGTCTTGAGCTCCCTAAGTACCTTGAGCTCAAGAGGAAAAGACTCCTTTAATCTGGCTGACAAAAGCTGACTGAGACTTGGTGGCTAGATGAAGCCAGATAAATTCAAACTAGAAATAAAATCCTTTTTGTTTTTCAAATACAAAAGTCAGTAACCAGCCTAGCACAGTTTCCTTGGCACTTCCAGTCCTGCTGGGCTGCTCTCCCGACAGCTGTGGGAGGCAATCGGTGATGGCGAGCAGTGGTGGCCACCTAAACTCTGAGGAGAGGGGTGATCTTATCTGTATCTTGCCCTGTGCAAGATATGCAAGATTTTGTAGGATGTGACAGAATATCTTCCCAAATACACTGTCAGCTGTCTTTAGAAATATTTACTGGCATATCTCAGCAGAAAAATACAAGTGGAAGTTGATTTAAGGGCTGCCAGCTCTGGCTCAGGGTTTATTTTATATTCAAGTTACATAGCCCAGCTTTGTCAGAAACCAAATCCATAGCAGGTTCCAGCTCCAGGCACTAGAGTGTTTTATTTAGATCAGCAGAGACCAGCAGAGCTCAGCTGCAAGAACCGGACAGTCATTTCAGTCCTTCCAGCTCCAGCCACCAGCCCAGTGCCGCACTGCCCAGCCAGCCCTCTCCCCAGCACCTCCAAGGCTCTGCCAAAGCCCAGGGCTGGTCTGAGCAGGGGTGTTTCCACAACTACCTCTCCTCTGTGCTCCAAGACCCCTGCCCTCACAGCATGAGGCAGTCCAGGCAGGACTTAAGAGCTTAAGAAAAGAACCAAGGGCATCTGGGCTGAGAAATGCTCAGAGCCCTTTGGCTCTGGCAGATCCATGGGGTATTTGCTCTAGAAGATGATAGTGGTCCTAACCCAAGGTGTTATCCCATATACCCCACTGCAAACTGGTTACAAAAGCCTTCCAAAAGAGCAGCATCTCTCTGTCTGGTGGAGATAAGGATATGTGGTCCAAGGGCTTGGGGAACTGGGCTCTGCCTCCTGCTCGCAGACGGCTACCCTTGGCTTCATTAGAGTGAGGCTCAGCCTGAACCTGAGCAACGAGGGAGAGGGGGTGAAGACCTCCATCCAGAGGAACCTCTTCCCGCCCAGCAGTCTGAGCCTGCGATCTGAGTTGCCACACGGACGTTTCCCATAGCCAAACACCAGATCCCTCCCCCTTCTCTCTGCCCTGCGCAGGCACATCTTTGGCAGTGTAAGCACAGAGGTAAAAATGCCACGTCTGGGAACAGGCTGTAGCAAATGCTGTCGGACCGCTGGAACTGACCCCATGGGATCTGTGGGTGGGGGACATCTCCTGTCCAGGTTCAG